AATATTGTTTGTTTATTTGGAACAATTTAGTTTGTTTGTAACATTGTGTGATACTTTAAATTGTATATGTTTTGTAATAATTGTTTACTTTAATCAATGTATGATATTTGGTTGCATTTTAATTTTTTAGTTTTATCCATATTTTTACAGATTTACAGGATTTAAATATTTATTGAAAAAACAAAAAAAAAATTTAAAATAAAATTCTTTTCCCAGCGGAACCGGCCGCCGGTAATTTTTTTTAATTTTTTTTGAAAATCTTATTTAAATTAAAAAAAAAAAAACAATACCGGCGGATTTCCGGCGGATCCGGCCGCCGGTAAAAGTTTTTTAAATCTTATTTAATTAAGTTTTTTCCGGCGAGAAAATACTCCGGCGGATATATCCGCCGAAAAAAAGTTTTAATTTTTTTTATTAAGTTAAACCAAATTCCTTAATTTTTCCGGCGAAAGATTTCCAGCGGCCGTAATCCGCCGGAAAAGAAAAAAATCCGCCGGAAACCTCGACGGAAAATAAATCAGCGGCGCCCTCTTTTCCGGCGGACAAATCCGCTGGAAATCTGCCGGAAAAACCAATTTCCGGCGGATTTCGGTCGGATTTGTCCGCCGGAAAAGAGGGTAATTTTGGTAGTGAAATATTTGACAAAAATTCTTAAAAACATTTTTTAATGCATAAAATACTGTTTATTTATGCATATTACTTAAAATTCAAGATCATAAGTAAACTGTGCGTAAATACAATTTATTAAAGCTTCATTTTTAAATTTGTATAACTAATTATAGATAAACATAATAAAATACGGGATACATATGTAATTTTGAATATAAAAAATTTCAAATATAATTAGAATAATCATTAATTATAAAAAATACTTAATTATTATCTTTATAAAAATTATATTATTAAACGATAAATAAATTACTTTATTATCAAATCTAAATTAAATTATAAATAAAATATTGAATTAAACAAATTACATAAAAAAAACCAGAACTTTAAATAGTAAATTTAATATTAATCTTGATATATTTTTTTACACATTTTTATGATATATTAAATTTATATTTTATTCAATAATAAAAACATTACCGTTTTTTCAAAACCACTAAAAACCGTATTATATCAACATAAATAAATAATAAAACAAAACATTAAAATCGAGACCTTCTAATAATAAATAAAGATGAAATAGTTAAATTGGTTTGTTTAAAAATTTAATTCAAGAAGTACGAAATGATGATTCGTAACAAGAGCACCAGTCTTGCGGTTGCAATGTCAATATCACCTATTTCCACTAGATAAGCATCAAGTGGCTCTCTGAAACTTTAATTTCCCAACAACATCACATGGCCGATCACCATCTTTGTCTCTTTTCTGAACTTTCCCGATCCAAAAATCCAAAATCAGAAAAAGCGTACACTTCTTTTGATGAATTACAAGTCACTGATCCACATATGCATGCTACAAATTTGGTAACTTACAGCTCTTGCGAAAGCGGTTCCTTTTCATCATCAAGAATGGTAGGACGTTAACTTCTCATCACACAATCTAAACCTGTAATCATCAGTCCAGCTCGATGCTTTTGCTTCTTTAATTGATCAACAAATGGCTTGTTATGATGATGGGTACATGTGGCCTCAAGATCAACACCTCACATATGATCTTCTACATCACCCAGATTCAGTAAGTTTTTCTGGTTATGATGAAGTTGATACTTATGATACTTACACTGTTTCTGAGTTTTATGAGCCTAAATTCATAGAACATTATCATCATCCACAAGATTATGATTATGGTCATAATTCATATTCATCGGCTGGTCCTGAGATCAATTACTTTGCGTATAACTATGTGGAGCCTAAGTTAATTGCATATGAACCAGTTGCTTGTGACACTGGCTATGTCTCGTATCACACCAACTATTCGATCTCTTATCCTCAACCAATGGATTCGGGATTTAACGAGCCTGAATTTGAAGAGTATGATCCAACCCCTTATGGAGGTGGCTATGATATTGTGTCTGTATATGGAAAGCCCCTTCCACCATCAGATAAAACTTGTTATCCTCGTTCTAACCCCAACCCCATTGAGCCGACCCCCAAGTCCAACCCTGAGTTTAAACCCGAACCCACGTCCAAGCCTGAGCCCGGGTCTAAACCCATCTTTATTCCAACTCCTATCCCTCTGGTTGACCCTAAACCTGAGCCTGTTCCAATTCCTGTTCCTTTGGTTGAGCCTGAGCCTGAGCCTGAGCCTGCGCCTGCGCCTGTTCCGGTTCCTATGCCTGAGCCATTAGAGTCGAAAGAAGTAGGAGCAACGGAAAGGGAAGAACACAGTTATCCTGATTATGGATATGATTATCCTTGGCCTGAATATGATCATGGATATGGAATTGGAGTGGGGTATGATCATGGATATGGGAAACAAGTGGTTCAGATTCCTCCATATGAATATAACCCAGAAGTTGTGGACTTGTGTGAAAACATTTTTGGGAGTTGGCCTTGTTTGACTAGGATTCGGAAGCAACAAATGGGTGTTGATAATAATCCAGGAATCACTTATCCTGAAAAGGGACACCGTAATCCATGGGAAGATTGTGCTAATTATTTCTTTCGAGGTCCGGTGAGAGCATCTTACGATCAATAAGGTTATGGTCATGGGTTTTGTACAATAATTGTATGCGTCTCTTATGCTTTTGTATTATCTTCTATGTAAGTGTCGCATTCGGTACTTGATTTCTTTTGTTTCGTAAAAGTAAAAATCGAAGTAAAAAATGAATATTTACAAACTTCACAACGTACAAGATTGAAATGACGTGTTGATATGTATTGGTAGAGCATCCGCGGACCGCAATTATGAAGGTCTAAAGAGATTTATGATTTTGTCTGATTCGATTTTCATTTTTCTATTTCCGACATATTTAATAAACCTTTCAGTCTCAATCATGTACCGGTTTCATAGTTTATATAATAAAGAACTATAATAATAAGAATTATAATCGTTAAAAGTTACTTATACTGTTAAAACGTAAGTCTTGATGTTCATTTATGTACCAAGGAAATTAATAAGTCGGAATGCATTTAACAATATATTGTGGTACATTTAATCCACTATCCACCAATAATGAAAATACGAACACGTATAGACACAAAGGCATCAACATCTTTTCTTAACGATTTTAGATATTTGTAAGTTCTTCCCTTCATATTTACAAGGTTTTTTTTTGTTAAAACAGGTTAAATAACGTTTTAATAGGTTTGTCCAGTAACTTATTTTTTAACAAGGATATAATTCTTCAGATGTTTAGCTTTGTTCTAATAACTTACTGTAACAACTTCTCCATTTAATAACCCATAATCAGATTTTGGTAACTAACTATTTGCAACTTGACAATTCAATCTGTCCATTGGGGCCTACCCCTGAGATGTGGATCATAAGGAAACAATATTTTTGATTATTCATTCGAATTTTTCGTCTATTTTTGCTATTTTTTAAAGTATATATATGATATTTATATACGACAAATGTAACAAATAAACTCAAACATCCTCCTCAACTTTGGTGAGGTTTGAATCTCCAGACTTCCTAGGAAACCAAGGACTACGATACCGCTAGGCCAAAGAACTCTTGTTGTGAATAACTTGTTTTGATATATAATATTTCTTTTTCTTTTTTATTTTTCGATAAAATTAGTTTAAGGGTCCAACTCTATGGAGTTTGAAAAAGTATGTCGTTTCGTTTATATGGACAAAACCACATTGTTACAAAGGCAACATAAGATAATTTGGTTCCTAATTTGGATGGAGAGATTAAAAATTCTAACGTAGGCTACCACTACTAGAAAGCTGGGTATTTCCAGCGAATTTTCCGACGGTATGAACATAAGCATATGGGGGTGTGCAACTGTGAATGGCCCTATTTTCTTATTCATGGACTGGAATGGAAATTTTTTAGAGGCATATAAAGAGGTTTCTTAAAATGGGTAATAGAATTTACACAAATGTAAAAGTGTTATGGTCGAAACTCGTTCATCGACAGTTTTTGGTTTAATTCTCAATGATTAAACGGTTATATATGAATTTAGTAACATATGACAATCAATAAAATATAATGTGCTACAGAACATGTAATAATTGATGATATGGAGGACCCCCCATGAATGATGAAGATCACAGCTTCACTACTAAAAAGAGGTTGTCATTAATAAACGTTGTGCAAGGTAATCCTTGATTCTCGTTTTTCATATATACCTGGATTCTCGTTTTTCATATTTATATGAGAGATCGACAGTTACGGACGGTTATAACCGTTAATGGATAAGATTGGAGAAAAGTTACAACTAAATCAAAGTTTCCAGGACCAAACTTTGACTCTAAGTCTAAGTTTGGGAACACTAATCCGAAATCTGATTATGCTACTTTGAGTTTTAGACTTAGGCAATTTTCTAAGCCTAGATGTTCAAACCCAAACTCCGACTATACAGTTCATCTCTAGCGACTTCAACTTTGGTGCTACTTCATTGTTAATGAAGATTCTTTGTTTTCCAACATACTACTAGATATGTGCAATTTTGTGGGTGCTTCTCAGATCTGCCATTAATGTTAAAGATTTTTTGTTTTTTTTCTCGATCTTGAAGTTGTTTATCGAGCGTTCTCCTCTATTCCGCAACTATTTTTGTCCAACCAACAATTTCATTTCCATGTATTGATTCATTTGAGTTTTTTTCAATTCTTCGATTCCTTTGTTTTTGGATGTGTGACCATTGTTGTGCTGTTGTTTTGAAGCCTCATTTGGTTTAAAGTATTATCAATAGTTTCTAAACTTTGTTGGTTGCTATATAATCAACCACTCTCCGTTGATTATCTGATAGTTTACAATCATTCAGATTTTAAGTTCCAATTTAGAAGAAAGAGTTCATACCGGTAAAGTTTTCAAAAGGAACATGAGAATCATCAATAATTGCAAGATTACATATTTTGGAAAGCCGAATATTGAATCAACTTCTTCAACAAAGATCATTTCTCTGTAGAAATGAATGGATTTGCACCATGTGAAGGCACATCTTAGAATACTTTTAGGTGACGTTTGGTTTGATAGAATGGTTTTGAAGGATTTGGATTTCGTGGAAGGATTTGGAATTCAAAGGATTTTGAATCTTTGGTGTGTTTTAGTTTGTTAGATTTGGAATGGAATTGAATCCCATTTTTCATAATAACAAATTATAAATATTTATAAAAATAAATAAATGATCTTTTTATTAATTGATTATTATAAAACAAATATTTTCAACATATTTTAGAACATTACTAGTTGTGTACCCGCGCAATGCGGTGGAAGCCGTGAATTTTAACGATTTTGAAGTTTCACTGGTTTTATTACAGAAGATTTAACGATGATATAAGTTACACTTGGTCTTTACATATTAATAAAATTTGAATGAATAAGAGTTATGGTTCCAATTACAGTCTATCGATGAAAAAAAAATTTATGACAGTTTAAAATCCAATATATTTAAAATCCAACATATTTAAATGACTCCACAAATGTGTTCGATTTACACCAAGAGCAAAGAATCAAGAGATCGAAAGCGAGACCAAGAGTTTCAAAACAATTGAATGAGAGATGAATGGGAGAACTTTTAATAACTCATGATGAATATCAGTTTGAATCTCACCTTGGGGATGGGGAGAAGACATAGAGGTATGAGAGGGTGAAGGCATGAGTGAGAGGTGTCAAAAGTATCTCAAGAACATGAAAAGAAGAAGTAATAATGTGCATTGGTAACTTGCACTATATGTTATTTTAATTGTAGATTAAGAGATTTTAAGACTGAATGCATAAAATAGTACGTAGTGCTTAATGCATTATGAGTTTTTTAAAACTTTGTGCATAAATGTATAGTACTTTGTGCATTAAAAAATGTTTTTTAAGAATTTTGATAAATATGGTTTATAAAGTAGTATATATTTTACATAATTCTATGAAATCTCGTGCAATATCAACATCCCCCATAGGATTTATAAATCCCATATTCTGGAATTAGAAACCGAAATGGAATATCATTATCCATAGCATTTGTTTGTCATGTAAATAGATAATGAAATAAAATGTTATTGGTACCACAATATGATGCATACAACAAATTGCACTTTGTACATTATCTATATTACCTTATAAACCAGATTTATCAAAAGTTTTAAAAATATCAATGCATAAAGTACTATACATTTATGCACAAAGTCTTAAAAGTCTTAAAAACAACTCATAATGCACAAAGTACTACTATTTTATGCATTTAGTCTTAAAATATCTTATCTCTTAAAATCTCTTAATTACAACCGAAAAAGCACATGGTACAAGTTATTCAACTATTCAACTTTCTCAAACCCAACGTAACTTTAGTTGTTCCCGGAAAGGCTCTGCATTTTCAAATCGTAGCTTTTCAAATCACCGATATTCAAATTTCAAACACATCACCACCTCCAAACACCTTTTTCATCTATGCTTCACTATTTTGAGGAGAGAATCAGAGCTCCTTTCATGGTGATTTACTGAAGAATTTCTTGTATTTCATGCTCAAAGAAGAAGAGAAAATGATGCAGATGGATTGGAGACCATGTTTGGATGAGTACGAAAAACTTATCGCTCGTATGAAGAGTCCAAAGTCAGTTTCTGAGCTCTTTCATGCTTGTTTAGAGTTTATGTTGATCTCACTATTGTGATACCATAGTGATCAAATTATACAAAATAATATGGATTTTCGTAGGTTTCAAGTTTTTTTTACTGATTTCTTTGCTAAATTAGGTCTAATCTTTGTTCCACGGGATCCAATTTTAACCTTTCTACCAATTTTTTTGCCCCTTTTCTTCATCCGCCTAATTTGATTTCCTTTCCTGTATCATAAAATTCCTTTCATACAATAGGAGAGCAGAGATGGCTGGGTATTTAGATGTTCTTAGTGCTCTTGCTAGGTACTTTGTTTCATCATGATAAGACTCTCTATTATGTTTATTGAAGTACTATTTTCCATTTTGACTGATTTTGATGTTGGTTTCTATTGCTGTTTGCTCTTGGTAATAACTTGTTGTTTTCATGAATCTTCACTTGTATTGTTTTTTCTTTACTTGATGTTGGTTTTCTTTATCTATTGTGAAAGCAATACATTTTTTTTCTTTTAGTTGATGTTGGTTCAGGTTCATCATCCAAACAGGTCATCTGCTTACCTACCCTTCAAGTTTTTATTTTTCTCGTCTTGGCAATTTATATAGTTGATTGTCTTGTATATTTATATCGTTGGTAATGCTTCTCACTTGATTGTTCATGTTCTCTACACTCTGATGATTCAAACTCTGGGTTTATACTTCTCACCCTTTCTCAAACACGCCAACTCAAATTTCCTCTAAATTCCTTGAAGAACTGCTATGGATCAAATGTCCTCTAAATTCCTGGCATCACTTTGGTTTATGTGGTTAAAGTGAGTATTTGTAATAGACATATAATTGTATTTCCTCTTTTTCCCTCGAGGCTGATCATAGTCATTGAATTGGTGGACTATGCTTCTTATAAGAAACTGCTAATTGCACATAATTTGCTTATTTAAACATAATAAAAGAATAAACAGAATAGCGATGGAAATGAGCCAGATTCGAGGCTCTAGATGAAGGATATTGGGACTGACTATAGACCAAACCGCCGTAGTTGGTCCTCATAACTCCAAGGAACTCAACTTCTTTCTAGCTCGTTTCCTTTTCTTCGACCGATTCATTAACTTATTAGCTAAATCTTGCATCAATTCCTATTTACAATTGCTTTCCCCTTCAATTTAGAGTCTCCAAATTAAACAAAGAGCTATTATAGAGTAAATTACTAATTTGGTCCTTATGGTATGT